GATTTGCACTGTCAAATACCTTGCCTAGCTCTACAGCAGGGTGTTCCTGAAGGGGACTGTGATATTCAGGGCAAAAAGCAGAGTGTATTTCAGTGAAATCTGTCAGCTTTCTCATTCCTGTAGTTTGGAAGAGATTTTTATGTATCTAATGCTACTGAAGTGGCAAATCCAGCTTTTCTTTCAACTGTTTCTGCCTGCAGTTTTTGGACACTGTCAGTTGGACAGCAAAGACAGGTGGTGTTGGCATGTTTCTGCTTTTTCCTCAGACAGCTTCTGAGTATCAGCACTTTGAATTTCTCTGGAGAGCTTTCTGTGACACTGGAACATTTTTTTTTTTCTTAGCTTGTTTGTTTAATCTCGAAGTACATAGTTCCCTTGTCAGCCTGCGCCTTTGGCAGTGAAACAGGGAGATCTATTCTTTTTCACTGCATTTGTTCACAAAGCTAAGAACTGCTGGTGTCTTCCAGACCTACCTTTGGGAAATGACAAGTGGAGTGGAAGAAATACCTGCTGGAATCCTTAATAAAGAACACATCATCTTTGGCAATATTCAGGAGATATATGACTTTCATAACAAGTAAGATTTCTTAACAGTTCTGTTAATGTTTATTGACTAGGGAAACCAAAGGCATATGTATACCTGTAAATCTATGTGGTGTCTGCAGTGAACACCTACAGCACAATAAAGACAGGAGCCGTAAAGTAATTGATCCAGATTTGCAAAATAATGTTTGATTTCTTGTTTTGTTTCTTTTACAAAAATGAATTGTATCTTAGTTTAAACTTCACCTGATTAACAATATTAAAGTCATATACCAATTCTTTGTAGTCCTATACATGCTTGTCCTTTCCATCTCACAGCACTAGATCTAGTCTGGAAGCTTGCCTGTCAAAAGTATGATCTCTTGGAAAATGAGAGGGAAAAAAAGGAATGGTTGACATGAGCTGGGTTAATAAGTAACTTTCCTGCCACTTCTTGGAGACTCTCTGTATTTAATCTGTAACTAACAGTACTCCCTTTTATCAAGATAAGACTGTGTATCAGATCAGCTTAGAGGGCGTTGTTTCCCTGCTATAATGTGAATGCAATAGCAGTTATAAACTTAACATTTAGGGGTGCTGAATCCCACAAGTTCAGTCTGAATTTTAAAGTCTGTCTTCACATTACACATCAAAACCAAAGCAGTTTGAAAAACAAATCAGAAAACCCTTCCCTGCTGAAGTTCTGGGAGACTTTCAGTGCTTCAGCCAGATAAATGTGCCATCACATACACATAAATATGGTCATCACATACACATAAATATGGTTCAGCGGGGGCTGCCATATGCATGCTTTTGTGCAAGCAGCTTCAAAGCATATCAGGATAGTAGATTTAAACTACATATTACATTAAAAAGGACTTTAAGTAGTAGATTAATTGACTTCCATCCTAAAAGAATCGCCCTGTCAAACAGGTAAGTATTCTTCTCCCATTTAAAACTATACTAGGATCATCCAATTGCCTTCCCACTTCCCCTCTCTTTGTAGTGCTATATCTTCTTTTTAGTGACCCTGAAAGACGCCAACTGATTACTCTCCTTTTTGACTTTCTATTGCTCCCAGCTAGTACCCCTTCAACCCTCAGTCATGCCCCTCAGCTCTCTGCTGCTGTCATTTGTCCTTTCTCTGACCTATCCTCCTCTAGCCTGCTGCTTCTGCATAATCCTTTTCCCACTAAGACTTCTAGCAATCCTAAAATAAATTGCCCCCGCCCCTTGCCTCCACCAGAGTCCTCCACAATCTTCTCCCTTGGCTGGTGATGTTAAGGCATCCCCCAGCCTGATTCAGGGCTGGGGAAACAGCACATTCAGTTGCTTCTCCTTCTGCAACTTCTGTTTCACATTCCTCTTTCCACCCAGGCATTGTACAGGGCTCTATGTGCAAACAGAGATGTCGCTCATCGTACAAGGTGTTGGGAGAGAGTTGATTACAAAATCTTTATTTGGGGAGTTTACTTATATACTTACCTGTACTTACCTATGAAGTATCAAGCTTGTTTAAATTGTTATCCTTTGCCCAGTGTGCTGAGTTTGGGGATGAAAAGCTGGCAGCTTTGGGCTTCTCTTTTTGCTCTTCCTCTGAACCACTGCACAAGATCTTTTTGAGTATTCACGATCTGGTTCTTGACTATCACTTTGCAGTCCTGAATACACTGACCCCCTACTAGGGATTGCTACCTTTTCCTTTCTAGTTGAGTCAGGCATGACTGTGCTCAAACACCAAAGCATACCTTGGCAAGGACACATTTTTTGCACTGGCAGGACACGTGATTAGCCTCGTAATCAAGGTACAAGTATTGACCATTAGCACTGATTAACTCATTGGTCATTCTGCTTCTCCTGGGTATTTGACTGTAACTAATTACATCGGTGTCTTCTTTTTTCAGCATTTTTCTGAAAGAACTAGAGAAATACGAACAACTGCCTGAGGATGTGGGCCACTGCTTCGTCACCTGGGTAATGAGGCTGCTGCTTCTCATTATTTATTCAAATTAATTCCTCCAGCACAGACAGAAACAAGCTGGGAATTTGTGCAAGGGTTACGTCCTTAGTGACAAGCGAGATTAGGAGCTAATCTGGAACTATGACTGCTTTGTCCTTCACCTCTCCCAGGGTGAAAGGTTCCCTACCTTAACTCTTCTCCTGCGAAGGCTTTCCAGAGCCTCGCTCTTTCTCCTGCACTGACCAGCACAGCTTTTACCTCTGCTGGTTCCTGTTTAACAGGACTTCGTCAAACTAAACCCGTATTTAGGGGTGGCATTCATTTCTTTGAGAAGGGCCCTAGGAGGACGGACATTTAAAATCTTATTATACCCTCCTTAGAGTATTTTAGTTATGCCATGAGACCTCTGCAAAGGCATGAACGACATATTTTATCAACATTTTTCTTTAGAAATTAGTGTCAAATTGCTGAGCCACTGTGCTCTCTCATTCCATGAACTAATGCCAGGATAATTTCCAACAGGACTTTGAAATCTTGATGCTAAGAGTCTGCATGGGCATAGGAGGCTCCAGGAACTGGCTACAGTAATTTATCTGTATGAAAGCTGTTCTATTTTCAAAATATTTACCATAGAAGTCAGCCATCTTCATGTTTTCTCTGATGGTTTTATTCATATTTCAAAGCTGGGAATTAGTATTTTAAAAGTCATTGTGGAACATTTTCACTTTCACAATGAGCATGTTTGGATGACTTCAAATGGGCTTTTAATTCAAAAACATGACACAAATATTGATGAAATGGATTCAGAAATATTGTTTACAAAGAAGAGGCTACATATTTCTGAAAGATGGACACACTTACGTATCATTCTGTGCAAAATCTTCACGGTACTTTTAAGATACTACCACATCATCTCAGCAATAGTACATGTTCAGAGCTGTGTGTATGGTTACAGACATACATACAAAGCTGCCTGTCCAATTGCAGGGTCCTGTTATCTAGATACCTGGTATAAAAAATGCAATAGTAATAAAAGGAGGCCATCCTCCTCTTCTGTTTGCCTGTCTCTCCCCGAGACGAGAGTTCAGTAATACGAAACTGCTCTAAGGCAGGAGTGCACAGATGCTTTTAATTTCCTCTTAAAAATAAATAAATTAGGAAATGAAATGCAAAACACTCCTAGCACAACATGAGGTTTGAACCATTAAAGTCTGAACCAAGGTAGGAAAGGCAAGTCTGGGCCAGGCGTCACAAATCTGAGCCAGTCTCAATTCAAAAATGTTGGCTCAAGCCAGTTTAAGCTAGGTGAATCTTTTGCCCAGAGTTTCTGCACTGGCTTTATCTGCAAGTAGGTGATAGAGCCAACTTTTCAAGACTGGGTTTTGAGACCTGCAGACTTTTGGATACAATCTGTGTAACATCATTAGAACTCTTAGAAGTTATTTTATAGCTGGATTAAAGTTTTAGGCCTTCGTCTCTGTGACACTTGTTAAAGAAAGCCTCCCATAGCTGTTACATGGTGCACCTCATTCCCCTCAGAACTGCTCAGGTAAGGTATGAACTGTCTATAAGTCTTCTGTTCTTAATTTGCAATTCTTATATTGCTTTGAGAGGTGGGGGTTTATCACCTGTATTTATCCTGGTGAGCCTTAATGAAAGACTCTGTGAGCAGAGAAATAGCTTATCTTGCTTTTCCCGTGATGTTTGTTTTTACAGGCAGATAAATTTCAGATGTATGTCACCTACTGCAAAAACAAGCCTGACTCCAGCCAGCTCATCCTGGAACATGCAGGGACTTTCTTTGATGTAAGCAGCCATTGCCATTTTCCTTCAGCACGCATAGTGTGGCTGAAACACCTCCTCTTTACATCTGAGCAACGGGTTCCTTTTTGTGCTTTGGCATTTGGGTTTTTCATTCCACTGCAGATATCACATGCTGTTAAAACTCATAGGCTGTGGTGTGATGCGTGATCTTCATCAGTATGGCAAGTCGTTTTTAATGGAGACACACATTATGGGAACCTTTGTGCATTCTTCAGACCCAATCCTTTCTAAATATCTGGTTTAGATGTACTCTCTACTTGTGGGTTTAGTGGTAAAATGAAAAGCAGATCCCATTATATTTTATGACCTGAAATCCCTAAGTCCAAAACAAGATCTTGTCCTCCTGTTCTGCAAATTTTACCCACCCTATTAAACATTTGCTGCATCATGCTAGTAAGGGACTCCACTGACTGCAATTAGACTATTTCCCTTACAAGCACTACACCTGGTGATAAACATTTGCAGGTTCCAAAGCCAGTTTTGTAGGCTGAGAAAAATCTTTAAAGTTTTTGAGTACATTTAAACTAAGCTTTCCCTCTGATTTTTGGAACTTCATCCATTTTGCCATGCTTGTCTGCTAGCTTATAGCTTTAATTAGTTGCCTTTCTGAAAAATGCTAAGATCTCTTTTCCAAAGCATTAAAAATCTTTTTACAAATGTAACCACTCAGCAGGATCCAACCTGCCTGACGTGAATCAGCTCCTCTGGGTTTCGTATGTGCCAATGGTTATAGCATTTCAATTAAACTCAACACTGAAAGATCTCACATGAGCCAGAAGAAAAGTGATGAACACTTTTTTCTTTTGCCTTGTATTTGCCTTGTTACCCAATGATCTAAAAGTAGAATTGAGCTGAAAGGGATTTTCCAGGAGGTGGCGCTTGAGCCTATTGAATGGTTTGTACTGGTTGGTGACTCGTGGAGGGTTTGAGCCGCCTTAGGTGTCTGTCAGTGTTGTTCACACAGTTTAAAAGCGTTTCCTCTGCTAAGCTTTTCCACTCCAGCTCTGTATACGGGCTAGAAACCTGCTTGATGCTGCTTGATAGAGAATATTCATGTGTCAGCATCTGCTGTTTTGCAAGGGGAGATGTTTTCCTTCTATTGGTAGGAATTGTGCTGGGCTACCCAGTGATGCCTGTGCAAAAAGAGAAAGCTGGCTATCCCCCCCAAAAAATCCTCTAGGAGTCATTCAATCTGACTAAGGTAGTGTGAAGTACTTGTAGATCCTTCTTATCTTGATCCTGGAGTGGCAGTGGTTCAGTGGCAGGACAGGGGACAGTCTGGCTCAAGGAATACGGAGGAAATTGCTGGTTCTTTTCTTCCAGGAAGAACCTGGAATTTCCCAAAACACCCTGATGATGACAGTAAGTTGTCTAGAATTAACACTCCTTAGTAAGAAGCCTGCTTGAAGATCACAAGTGTACAACCCGTTAAATTGCATAAACTGTCATAGAAAGCCACCTTTGAGATGGAAACAAGTAGTCCCAGTAATCTGTCTGAACCCTTCAAGTCCACGGAAAATTTGCAGCTTCAGGGCTCATTCATTGCAAGCACTTCAGCTGGTAGAAATCAGCATATTGAGTTAATTTTAGTGTTTAGCATTTACAGAGTGGAACATGGTAGAGCTCATTGACTTTGGTAGCATTGCAGAGCATTGTGTTTCTGCACGGATGATGGTTCTTGGACAGTTTCTCTGCTGAGCTAGAGTGTCCCTTAGCAAATGGGCAGAGGAGCAAGCAGGGTCTCAGTTTCTCCTTAGTAATATTTTTCTGAAATTGCTCACCAAAGATTTGTGTCATGCATTATAAAACCTAAATGTTTCATGAGGTTTTTAGTGCTGAATCAGTCTACTCAGCAAGCCATTGGTCAGTATACCGAGTTCAGGATGCAGTTTGTCCTCCTACTAAACAACTGTACACAATTAGATGACTTATCTAAATTTGTGAATCTCTTTTGACGTTTGATACAAAATCTGGGCACTTTATCACTGCTTCATGGTAAATTCAGCAATTCTTATGGTATGAAATTGTATTCAAGTATTCCTGTCTCCATGGAGGGTCCTGTGAGGGTACTGTGCTGCCCTACGCAGAGGATATTTTTGGTGTTTTTCTGGGATTCTGTCATTGTATGTAAGACTACACGTTGATCCTGTTCTGCAGCTCATCTGGTTTGCAATACACAACTGCCAGCACATGGTGCCTGTCAGATACCTTCATTTCTTCCAGGCCCTTGGGACACTTTTCCACGCAAGGAATAACTTAAAGTTGTGTCTAATGGTGAGCCATGGTGCACTATGACGTGAACCAAGCTTGCTTTAAATAAGAAGCAGGGCAAAGTAGAGAGCACAGAGCCCTGTGGCTAGCTTGCTTCTGAAACCTGCCAGCTGCTTCAGAGCTAGCTCAGATATATCTCTGCTTCATGTTACTTAGAGGTGTGTGAGAAATGTCTGCACTACCATGCTCTACCCTGCGCAGACCTCTCCAGTTTTCACCTCCACCCACAGTAAGTTCAGACCTCTCCAGCTGTTTCAAAGCCAACCCAAGACACACTCCAGCAGGCTGCATCTTACTCCAACACTTCAGGGAGCAGAGGGAGGAGCTGCAGGGAGAAGGTCCCTTTCCAGCAGTGTATTTGTCTGATTGCCATGTAGCAGTGCTGTTGCTTCCCTGCTGCAGGTTTCTGTGCAGCAGGGACAGCTGTCACTCCACCAACCCACTCTGTCTCCGCACAGTCTGACCAGGGAGCGTCCTGGCAGACCAAGGAATGCCCGAAGGGGAGGCATCTTGCTGGGAGCATGCTCTGCTCTTCAGAGAGCTGGGAGGAAGGAATAGCGCTAAATTCATTACTTGGATCCTGCAAAAACAAGTGTACTTAGCCAGGTCCAGGAAGTTCACAGACATGGCCGAGGTCTTGCTGGCTCCTGCAGTTACTAATTGAGTCCCAGCCATGTGCTCTGCAGACACTGTCCCTGTTTGGAGCCAGCCGTGACTCAGCTTCATGCAAACTCCATTAACCCCCACACAGAGCTCCTTCCCTTTTGGGTCTTGTTCATCTGGGCACTAGAGATATTTTTTTCTAAAACAAACTTGCCTAGTACAAAAAAAAAAAAAAAATCTGTTGGCACATTGTGTGAAAAGTGGCTATTTTTGCATCCCAGCATAAAGATAAACACTGGAGCTAAAAAAACCAGTAATCTCCCTAGTACTCAGCAGAAAATCAGACTGTATACAGAAAGAAAATCTCCATTCCTGGCAGCTCTTCCCCTGTCATCTTCTGTAGCTTCTTCCCTTTACAGCCTCAAATTTACCCTCCAGTAGCTGGAGATAAGTCCCATTCCCCCTCCCCATCTGCTCCCTTAGGAACCGAGGATTTCCTGATGGCCAGGAGCAAGGGGAGGCATGCCCAGGGCCTGGCGGAGGCAGAAGGAATTCCAACCTGTTCTATTTCAGCAGAGAATCTGCCCCTGTAGGGCATGAGTTTGAAGTCTTTGAGATGGCTAAATATGTGCATTAGGGTCCTGTAGGATTTTCAGGAATTCCTAACTCCCACTGGAACCAGTTGGAGGGAGGCAGCTGGGCGCTTTGCAGACCTCACCAGGTGCCTATCTGCAATGTCTCCAGAAGTTCATGAGCACATCACACTGATCAGCACAGACATTTTGGTTGAGATTCAGGTGACAAACCGGAAGTAAAAGGTATCATAAGGGTATCTCTCCTGGCCCCCAGCTGCCACCTCAGAATAGCATAGGTCTGTCAGCACCGTGTCAGACCTGTTACTCCCATGTGGATATTTCCCCTACCTCAGGGCTCTCAAATGGTACTAGATGCTTATGTTTAGACAGCTAAATTATACCCTATGCATGCAATTTAATTTAATGTCACTCCATTTTAATTGAACGTTAAGACTCTGCTTTCAGGCTTCATAGCTAGGAGAAACCAGCTGACATGACAGATAAGTCATATTTAAATTGAAGCCTATGTAATTTACTCAACATAGCCTTAGCTTGACTTGCATAGGGCCCCTGCAGTTTAAGTGGCCTTAGGGGGACTCAGCAGTTTATTGCCATCCTCTCTGAAACCACTGTTATTTGCATGTGAGCTTAAAGAGAGTTAAAAAACTAAGGAAATGCAGAATTCCAGAGCTAAAATTAGTTATGGGTGGTTCTGTCTGGCAGGGGGTTAATGGTTTTCCATGACTGACTGCTGGTTTTATCTCTTCTAGGAAATTCAGCAAAGACACGGTCTGGCCAATTCTATCTCTTCTTATTTAATCAAGCCT